TTTGTCACTGATGTTTTTGGTCTTGTTCTTTGCCCTTTTCCCCTGAGTTACTGAAATGCTAGTTAGAGGTCCTTGCAATCTGAATATTTTTTATTTAATGATGCTCCTTCACTCTCATTGAGAGAAATGGACTACAAATGAAGTAAATAAAATAGAATAGAATAAATCATCCCAAGATATATTCCTTATGGCCCTAGCTGCAGAAACGAGGCAAGAGGAAAACAGTGATGACACCCTGTCTGTGAAATAACTTGGCCCTTGGAACTCACCAGAACTAAACTAGCATTTCCCCATAAGAGTGTGCAGCAAAAAAAGTGTGTGTGTGTGTGTGTTTATCCAGATATACGGGGAACCCCCCCATATTGGTATCCCTGGTTTCCTGTGCCCCCCCCCCGAGTTTCTGGGGTTCCCCCTCCCCCAGCTCCATTATTCCCTGTGCGGAAAATTTCAAGGAAGTGAATCGGGTCATGCATGTTGGGGGCGGGGCCACAATCATCCGAGGGAAAACCATAGAGTTTTCCCTCAGATGATAGAGCGTCCCCTCGCAATGTGCCCAACGCAATTGCGTCACCTCTGGGTGATATGTTCACGCCGGGCACATCACGCGTTTGGGGATGGCGTCCCCCCTGGAAGCCCAATCCCCTCCAGCAGGAAACAGGCCCCTCGGGCAGGGGTTTCCCGGCCCCCTGGGGGGACTTGGCAACCCTACCTATGGATGGGTGGGAACATGAAAAACCCACAAAATCAAAATCTTCTGGTGATCTCCTGCCTGAAAGACACCTGCTTAGCCTTAACCAGAGCCAGAGCCTTCTCAGCTCTGGTGCCGGCCTGGTGGAACGCTTTCCCAAGTGAGATCCAGGCCCTGTGGGACCTAATCAGGGGTCATTTCATAGAAAAAGAGCTAGGGGAACTCATTAGCATAACTCATTAGCATATGCCACACCCCCTGACATCACTGGAAGTGTGTCATAAGGCCACACCCCCTGACATCACCGGAAGTGTGTCATAAGGCCACACACCCCGCCCCCAACGGTCCCGGCCGCCGCCGCCAGCCTTGCAGCTTTACTGCCGAGCCCCATGAGGGGCCCGGCGGTTGACCTGCAAGGCCAGCAGGAGTGAAAGGAAGCCCCGCGAAGGCCCCCCCTTGCCCCAGGCAGGCAGGGGTGGGGAGAGGTAGGGAGGCAGGAACTTACCCTCCCTCTTCTCCTGCCTCCTCCTGGCTGAATGAGGGCCGGAAGCGGGGTGGCCGGAAGCAGGGGGCGGGGCTTCGTCATGTGCCCCGCCCCCGTACCTCACCCGGGGGAACTGCGATCCCCTGCTATCCCCCCCAAAATGACCTCTGGACCTAATCCAGTTCCACAGGGCTTGGAAAACGGAGATGTTCTGCCAGGCCTATAGTTGAGGTGGCAGCAATTCCATCCGTATTAGCTTGCCCTCCTTTGTTTCTAGTTCTTTGTTTGTGAACCTGCCATATCATCATCCTAACATCCACGGAGGTGCGTGAAGTATAGCCTCTTTTGAGATAAGACACACCAAGCTGTGTCAAATAATTGCCTCCCCTCTGAATGACTAGTTTTAAATTGTTGTTATAAATTGGGTTTTAATATGTAATGATTAATTTATTTATTGTTTTAATATTGTTGCTGATACCTGTTGTTACCCACCCTGAGCCCTGCTGTGAAGGGGAGGGAGGGCTATAAGTCAAATATAATGAATGAATGAATGAATGAATGAATGAATGAATGAATGAATGAACGAATGAATTAAATGCAAAACTCAAGAATCTCCACCCCCAAAGGAATTTTTTTGGATATAGATTCGGTCAGGGCTCATTTTGTAGAAAAAGAGGTGCAGGAGTTCATTCGAATAACTTATTAGCATAACTTATTTGCATATGCTGCACCCCCTGACATCACTGGAAGTGTGTCAGAAGGCAACACCCACCACTCAGGCTCCACTGGTCTGTTTTGGATTGGTAGCTATTGGGGGGGGGGAATGCGCAGATCTGCCCTCACAGAGGAGGGAGAGCTTGTATCTGAAGGCGGGCCGGGGGGGGCTCTGCAACTTACCTGGCTGCTTCTTGCTCCTCATGGCCTGACTAAGGGCTGCTGGGAGCAGGGGGTGGGGCTTGTTGCATGTGCCCACCCCCTGGGCTCCTTACTGCCGGAGCTTCGCTCCTGTGCGCTCCCGCAGGAAATGATCCCTGGATTCAGTTCAGTTACATCCAAGCACAGGTCCCCATTTCCCCATCAGACTGAGACACTTCTATTCATCCAGGATTCGAACGGCCCTTTTGTAACATTATGACGACTTGACCTGGCCAGTTACTTTCCTGCTGAAGCATTTAAGGGATGCTTTTATGGCCTGTTTTATGGAGCTGGTGGTTTAATGCTGCTGTTTTCATTAGTTGACTGATGTTTTTTTAAAGATTTATATCAAAGGGTTTTATTACATGAGACAGATTTTACTGATAGTTTTAAATCTTATGGATGGATCCAAATTAAACTTTCTATTAATGGAAGGCATTTCCATCAGTAGAATAAAATTTTCTGCCACCGCATCCCATTCTCCCTCAGTAGCCCACCTTCCTTCCTTCCTTCCTTCCTTCCTTCCTTCCTTCCTTCCTTCCTGCTTATTTGGTAATTGCTTTGTTACCTCCCTCCCTCCCTCCCTCCCTCCCTCCCATTTCTATGCCATCTCTTCAGAGTCCTGCTTAAGGCAGTTTAGAATTAAAAGCCACAATATTTTAAAAAGTATAAATGGTGCTCCTTGGGGGAGCACAGAAACATTTTTGAGAGCTCGGTGGACTCTGATGGGAACTGGGAGGCAAATTTTCATCTTCTGTTTTCTGCCTCAAGGGGATCCTGGACAGGTAGGGTGTAAATGAACAAACAAACAGATGTCTAACACAAGGCACTGCATGGGCCACACACCCCTACATCGTTACAGATTTGTTTGCTGTCAATGTTAAACATTTATATGACACTTATCTTCAGCTGTTGTCCGTCCTGCAAGTCACAGTAGTGCGGTTAGCTAATTTTTCCTCTGGAGTTAATGGACTGACAGGGATCCCTCTTTAGATGGCAATGTATGCCTTGAATGCTAAGCTACAAGCATGCTGTTCAAACTCCTTCCCCACGCTGAACCTTTGAACCTGGACTCAAGACTTCTGCCCCAAAGGCCAGCTCTGAGGACACTACGGCCAAAGCACCTCTTCTTCAATAACACCTTGTCTCAGCAAAAGCTCCAAGATTTGGTCCATGCATATACATGTATCCAGTTTTCCTGTGCATAGGGGATCCATGTGCCCACTTGTGGCGGACAAACCAGCACTAAAACAAGCACCAAGAGATAACAGGAGAGGAGAAAATACATTGGTTTTGGGGTTGGTTTTTTTCCCCCCCGTTTTTTTGGTATTTTCTTTCTCTGTGTGTGCATGTGTGTGCACCTGGAAGTCACGTTGAACTCTGGTGACTGACCCCCTACTGGGGGCCTCCCAGCTCTGGTATTCCAAGGAGGTCTCCCATCCAAGTCCGTGCCAGGGCTGACCCTGTGTAGCTTTCAAGATCTGATGAGATCCGGCTGACATGGGCTATCCAGGTCAGGGCAGGAAAATGCATCGTCGATACACCACCATCGCTTACTCTCTTGGCAAAATCCCATGGTGTTGATGAGGTCACTTATTTGTTCATTTATTTATTTTAACTTTTAGCCCTCCCTCCCCTGCCCAGTGGGCTCAGGGCGGGTTACGACATTCGTAGGACATACAAAGACATAAAATAGAACATAAATCATAAAAACAATTACAATAAAATATCAATACATTAGAACCCTCAAGGGGCGCCAGCTAAACAATTTAACAAATTGGAAGAAATTCCAGATTATGGGTTGCTCCAGAATGAGATAAGAATGAGGGAAGTGGGTGGATGAGGAAACAGCTATGGTGGACAATACAGCTATGGTGGACTATAAATGCTGCTAGGGCAGAGCCAAGCAGAGCAGAGCAAGGGAGGCCATTGTAGTGTTCCAGCTAGAATTGATATCAACATGATGATGCACATATGAGGTCTTATGCTTGGGGGGGCAACAGTGGGAGGGCTTCTGGTGTCCTGGCCCCACTGCTGGACCTCCTGATGGCACCTGGTATTTTTGGCCACTGTGTGACAGAGTGTTTGACTAGATGGGCCATTGGCCTGATCCAACACTGGCCTCTCTTATGTTCTTATGGATAAACATATGGAGCAGAGGTCCATCCATGGCTATTTGCCACAAGGTATAGATAGGAACTCTCAGTCTGGGGCAAGTGATGCTCTGTATTCTTGGTGCTTTGGGGGGGCGGGGGGGCAACAGTGGGAGGGCTTCTGGTGTCCTGGCCCCACTGGTGGACCTCCTGATGGCACCTGGTATTTTTGGCCACTGTGTGACAGGGTGTTGGACTAGATGGGCCATTGGCCTGATCCAACATTGCCTTCTCTTATTAACTTATCTGGGGAACTGGATGGCAGAGGGAGCATACTTCCCATTGCCTATATGACCCTGACTATCCTATGACTGTCTTCTCCAGTCACCTCCCCCGCACTGCTTCCTCTCAGTTTCAGGGACATTGTACCTGCATTTGGGGACTTCTGTCAGACTGGTGTGGGTGGGTAGACTTCCTAAAGCCCCGCACTTATTATTTTAAAAAAGGGTTGCTCTCATGAAACTTCCAAACTGACAATGAGTTCAAGTTGGGACAAAAGTCGGTGTCATCTCTATTGTGCATAACATTCCCAGCAGAATTTTTTTTTTTCATCTTCTTTTGCAAGCTGATGACAGCTGAGTTCTGTGCCTGACTCACCGTACTTATTAAAGTAATTTGAGTCAAATATCCTGCAAGTCAATTTGTTTCATAGGTAATTAAAAATCCAGGCCTAGAGGAGTATATTTTAACCACCAGGGACGCTGTCAAAATTGTATAAAAGCCCAGAGTATCCTGACATTTTTCAACAACTTCCCTTGGCTCTCCGTCTCAGCCGTTCTCCTTCTTCAAGAAGCAGGTAAGTTCTCCCATGTTGGGACAAACATTTCTCTTACACATTCTCTACAGGTATTGCCTCTTAACAGGAAAGCTTCCCAAATTCTCCTGTTTCTAATGGCCTCCTGGAATTTGGTTTTCCAGATATTTGTTTCTCCATCTTTTGTTTCTCCATGCTATTATGAACTTTCTACATAGAGAGGCTGTTCACCAGCCCCATCATTCCACACCAGTATCTGTAGATAATTTCCAGAACAGAGGACCAATCAGTCATGTGTGGGTCGTTCGCATGGTTCCTTCATCATAACATGCTTCAGCGTACTTTGCCAATCCAATTTATGCTCAGACATTTAATTTCCACTAACCCTGCCAATAAGGGCTGCGGTGGCTCAAGTGGTTAAGATGCTGAGCTGCAGACCGGAAGGTTGGTAGTTCAGCAGTTTGAGACCCGAGTGCCACATGACGGCGTGAGGTCCCGTCTCTGGCCCCAGCTCCTGCCAACCTAGCAGTTTGAAAGCAAGACATTGCAAGTAGATAAATAGGGACCGCTTTGGTGGGAAGGTGAAAGCGTTCTGTGCGCCTCAGCGTCTAGTCATGCTGGCCACATGACCCACAGAAATTTCTTCGGACAGCACTGGCTCTTTGGCTTGGAAACAGAGATGAGCACCGCATCTCTAGAGTCGGATTCGGCTGGCTTTCAAGCAAGGGAAACCTTTACCTTTACCTAACTCTGCCAATGCTAGTTAGAGTCTTACGAAGCCTGTAGTACCAGGCCTATGTCGAGAACCGCATCAAAACAAGGTAAAGCAGGCCAAAACCATAGATGGTGGTTCTTCTCTGTCCCTACTGGAGACGAAGCACAAAACTACCTTTTCTTCCCCAAAGTAAATACCATATAATTTAAAAAAGAGAGGCTAGGGTAGAAAGATCTGTGACAAAATCATGCTTGGGGCAGTGGAACATCTCAAAATGATTTCTCTTTAACCCCACTGGCTGTGTGGCATTTTATTACCTCCACCCATTGGGTCTGTTGCTCCATCTATCACAGGGGGTGGGTGGCAAAAGCAGTTCCCCACATTAATTTGAATGGATTCTTATAGAACTGCAGTTAATATTTTTGCAGCTCACACACACACACAAAAACTCATATCAGTCTGAGAGAGTGACTGGTTAAGTATCGTTGGGAAAATAAGGAAAAGTAGAAATATTTCACACACAAAAAAAAATTGGTCTGTTCAGCATGAGGACTTAGTGTGGTATTAAGTATTTCATTTTAGGCTCTCTCTCTTTTAAGGCGTTAAAAATAGCAAGTGTCACACACACACCCCCGGCATTGTTTATCTTCATAATGTCACTGTGAGTTAGTTTATTCCAGCCAATGCTCCCTCTAAGCTGTGGAGTCTTGTGAGCAAAAAATCTACTTTGTGAGCTACTAGCATTAAAGTTGTGAGCAAGCGATTTGGCTGCTACATAAATTAGTTTGCTCTGGAGCCATCCTTCCTGAGCGAAGACAAAAATGTGTGAGCCAGAGGCCGAAAACCTGTGAGCTAGCTCACACTAACTCAGCTTAGAGGGAACAGTGAAATCTAATAGTATGTTTGATGGCTGAACAAGTATAAGAAGAGGGAGTCAGAACATCATCTACTATGCCACAGACTTATCACTGTTGGTTAAATATTCACTCTCATTTCCCACCATTTTCTATGCCTTGCCTTTATCTCTTTCCTTCATATTAAATTTCAGACCCACCTCCATCAAAAAATGTCTGCCGACTGCGGTCCACAGTTTGCTGTCCCATCTGTTGCCTCCACCCCAAGAGTTGGCTTTGGATCTGCAGGGCTCGGCTTGGGAAGTCTTGGCTGTGGATATGGAGGTCTTGGCTCTGGATATGGAGGACTTGGCTTTGCACATGGAGGCCTTGGCCTTGCACATGGAGGCCTAGGTTACGGTCTCGGCTATGGGTATGGCCCTGCTGTGGCTGAAACTTCTGGCAGTCTCGGAACCCTGGCTGGAGTCCACCCTTCCTGCATCAACCAGATCCCACCTGCAGAAGTCGTCATCCAGCCACCTCCCACTGTCTTGACCATCCCAGGACCCATCCTCTCTGCTACTGGGGAACCAGTTTCTGTGGGAGGCAACACTCCATGTGCCATTAGTGGCACTGGGGTGGCAGGAGCAGGCTTCTATGGGGGGCTAGGGAGCAATTACGGAGGCTGGTGTTCTGGTTATGGCCTGAGGGGGGGTTCATTCCTTGGAAGAAGGGCTCTACTGGGACGTCGTGGCAGCATCTGTTGATCCCTCTATTGAGCCTGAGGAGCATTTCTTCATGATCCCGGTAATTCACAGGAATTGGAAGATGAGCCCCATTGATGAGTTTGAAAAGCTAAGCTCACCGAGACATCAGTGAACTCAAGCGCTTTTGCATAACCATTGGGGGTGTCCATTGCTTTCCCTGATTTCACTTTGTTTTCTGAACTCTGCAAGACCAAGAAAATGCTCTCTTTGGTTTATGTGCTTTGTCTGTTCACCTCCTCATTTGTCTGTAATGGTTTTTCTTGACTGCTTTTCCAATTTCATTAAAGGTCTTTCTGCATTCTAGCATTTTGTGTCTTGGTTTAGCTTCTCAAAGCGCCGACTACAACATGTGCCGCATCGTCTCTGTCATCTGAGGATTCCCAAGGCAGTGGCCTTGGACAAACCAGAAGTATTGTCGAAGGGCAGAAGTGGAGGCAAAGCCAAGTGAGGGATGGCTTGGGCGTCCTTTGCATCACCACATGGGATGATACAAATATAATAAGATCCCTGCTGGATCAGACAAGCGATCCATCTTGTCCAGTATCCCAGTCCTTCTGCCCATCAACTTCATTAGATGCCCTCATGTTCTAGTACATTGGTAGAGGAAGAAAAAGTGTTCTTTGTCAACTCTTTCCAACTCATGCATCATTTTATGTTTTTATTTTATTTTAGTTTATTTATTATTTGATTTCTAGGCCGCCCTCCCCGCAAGTGGGCTCAGGGTTGCTAACATCAGGGCACACATGCCAAATGCATAAAAACAAGATAAAAACATGGTTTCAATATTACAAAGTAAAGTGCTTCAAGATGGTCACAGATGATAGTCGTCAATTTCAGATGGTATCCGGAGGATATTCTGTCAGATCTCAACTCAGTGGTATCCACACGCCACAGTGCTGCAGTTCGATCGTCACAGGGTCACTCCCATACCCGCTGTTTCCAAATTCGTTGTTGGTGGTAGTAGTGGTGGCTCCTACTCAAAAGCCTGGCAGAAGAGCTCCGTCTTGCAGGCCCTGCGGAACTGTGCAAGGATTTGCAGGGCCCTGATCTCCTCCGGGAGCTCATTCCACCAGGTAGGAGCCGCCACCGAAAAGGCCTTGGCCCTAGTAACAGCAAGCCTGACTTTCTTGGGGCCTGGAGTCACCAGCAGATGTTGCATCCCTGAGCGTAGTGCCCTGTGGCTTGCTCTCTTTAATGTTGAGCCTGAACATTTCTGAGAAAGTAGAGAAGATAAATTGGATTTATACCCTGCTCTTCACTATCTTAAAGAGACTCAGAGTGGCTCACAATCTCCTTTCCCTTCCCCTCCCCACAACAGACACCCTGTGAAGTAGGCGGGCCTGAGAGAGCTCTTTCGAGAACCGTTCTTGAGAGAACAGCTATGAGAGAACTATGACTGACCCAAGGTCACACCAGCAGCTGCATGTGGAGGAGTGGGGAATCAAACCCAGTTCTCCCAGATTATTTATTTATTTATTTATTTATTTGTTCGGCTTGATATACCACCCTAACCCCCGTGGGGGTCTCTGGGCGGTTTACATTGAGGGTGCTAGTCACAATTTATGTCCTTAACTTTTTGGCCACATTATTTAGAGGGGGGTGGGATATCCTACCGGCACCCTAGTGGAGGCTGGTATTCTTCGGCTTGGCTTCATTCCCGGCTATGCAGTGGCTGTTGTTGTTTTTTTTGCTGGCGCTTGGCACGGAGATTGACGTCCTCCCCGGCCCCGGCTTGTGTCCTTCAGGCTCCGCCTGCGCTTAGTGATGACGTCATCACGCGCCTTTTCTTGCCGTACGACAGCCGCTCGATGTTTTTCCGCCTGCTGGCCACCAGGGATTTCTCCTCTGATCTGCCGCTGCTCACTGCCGCTTGCTGCCGCCGCCGTCACGCCACGTCGCCTCTGCAGCTGGTACTCCGCCATTCCTCCGCCGCCGCCCACACACCCCATTGGGGAGGGTGCCCCCCACCCTTCTAAGGGTGGGTACCCATTTATCTACTTGCATCACGTCTGCTTTCGAACCGCTGGGTGGGCGATTAGAGTTTGCACCCCTAACCCCTTCACCAAACTGTCTCTCATGCAATCCCTGACCTTTTCTGGATACTTTGCATGGAGAGAATTAATGCACTGGAACTAGAACTAGGCCATTTTAGCTCTATCATTCTGCCTTATTATTTTTTAAGTTATTTCAGAGATTTTTCTGTTGCTTTCCTATCCAGATTAGGGTCCCCAGGTAGGAGAAATGGCAAATCATTGAAACATGTTTTAATATGCATATATACAAAAACAAACAAACATTCAGCAAAACACATGCACCCAAAAGCAGGAAAGCTAGTCAATGAGGAATACTGAGGAAATGCCAAACAAAACAGAACAATCTTCACATTCTGGTGAAAATAATGGTAAAGGGGGTAAATGAATCTCCCCATGAGCCTGCAGTGCGATGTGACTGCGAAGAAAGCGAATGCAATCTTAGGATGCATTAACAGAAGCCTTGTGTACAGAACAAGGAAGGTGGTAGTTCAGCTGTGGTCAGGCCTCACCTGGAGTCCTGTGTCCAGTTTTGGGCCCCACATTTTAGGAAGGATGTTAACAAGCTTGAGCATGCCCAGAAGAGGGCAACCAGGATGGTGAGAGGGTTGGAATCCAAATCTTATGAGGAAAGGCTGAAAGAGTTGGGTCTGTTTAGCCTGGGAAAGAGAAGGCTTAGAGGGGGCATGATTGCAGTCTTCAAGTATTTGAAGGGCTGTCATGTAGAAGATGGAGCAGATCTATTCTCTCTTGCTCCGGATTGCAAGACTAGGTCTAATGGGTGGAAACTACAAGGGAGTCGATACGGGCTAAATATCAGGAGAAACTTCCTAACCGTAAGAGTGGTTGAGCAGGGAAACAGACTGCCTCGGGAGGTGGTGGATGCTCCTTCACTGGACGTTTTCAAGCGGAGGCTGGATGACCATCTTTCGGATATGTTGTAGGGCTATCTTTTGGCTATGTTCCTGCAGAGTGCAGGGGGTTGGACTAGATGACCTACAAGGTCCTTTTCAACTCTCACATTCTATGATTCTATGGAGGGAATTCTGTAATGTTGGTGCCACAACTGAGAAGACAGTTCTAACCATAGATGGAGGAGGAGGCGTTATCCAAAGAGGTAGATCTCCTATTTAGTTTGGCGAGTTATCTTCAAGGAGACAGAGCAAGAGGGGGTAACTGGTATTCTCCTACTACATACACAGGGATTTTTCCCTTAAGAGAACTCTCTAAATAAACCTGGCAGATGTTCAACTGGAAAGGTTTTTATTTAAAAGAATAAACCAGAAATGCAAACAATAAATACACAAGCCCAAATACAACCACCTGTGTATGTAAGCACTAATAAATTATAACAGTGTTCAAATAATAAAGGATCGATTTATGTGTGTGTGTTTTTTCTTTCAACAAATACATATTTCATTTGAGCATAAATTCATATGTCATAAATTCCATTTCATTAACAAAGTCTCTGGGGACTTTCTTCCACATGTGGTGGAAATGTGGAAAAATTTATAGATTTTGGCAAAATGTAAGTAGCATAATAATGGAAATGCTTCAGATCAAGCTAAAGTTAAGTCCAGAGATTTACCTGTTAAATATAATTCCCAAGGAGTATAAAGAAAATAATGTATATGTTCTGACTTATACACTTACAGCATCTAGAATTCTAATAGTGAAATATTGGAAACAAGAAAAGTTACCAACGAGAAAGGAATTAGCTATGAAACTCTTGGAGGTGGCAAAAATGGAAAAACTGAATGTAATACTACAAGGAAAAGATGATAAAATATTTCAGGAAAGATGGGAGAGGGTATATAAATGGATAAAGGAAAAGAATAAGCAATAGACTCGTTTATGTTGTATGTATGTAAAGAATAGTATATGTATGAATATACTTTGTAAAACTTAAATAAAACTTTCAAAAAACAAAAAAACAAAAAAACAAAAATAAAACAAAGTCTCTGGGTTGTGATCTTCATTTTGGAAGTCTTCTTCCTGAATATCAAAATATCATCTCATCAGTTTCAGAATATGTAAAATTGTAAGACAGCTTCTCTGTTCAATCCAAATATTTGTGAGGTTACAGTAGTTTCATCTAGAGTGTCAGAAGACGGACCACATTTAACACAGTGACTGTCTCTGTTGCTAATCTGGTATTGCCTCATTAGCAACATACACATGTGGCAATGAAATTCCTTGGTCTCTCACAGCAAAAGAAGATACATGCAATAAATATTGCAAGAGAATACAACCCTCTCAAGTTATCTCTTCAGCTTTCCCTTCTTACTATAGTTCTAGTGCTCAATTACGGATTGCTGCCTTGATGTGGTGAGGGGGCTTGTATGGTTTATTGAGGCTGTGGGCTATGCCATGGAGGGCCACCCAGGATGGACAGGCCACAGGGGAGAAGTCAGACAAAATGTGATTCACTGGAGAAGGAAATGGCAAGCCACTCCAGTATGTTTGCCAAGAAAACCCCATGGACAATATGGTGCTAAAGAAGACTCTTGAGAGTCCCTTGGACTGCAAGGAGATCAAATCAGTCAATCCTAAAAGAAATGAACCCTGACTGTTCCCTGGAAGGCCAGAGACTGAAGCTGAAGCTCAAATACTTTTGTCACCAAATGAGAAGGGAACACTCACTGGATAAGACCCTGATGTTGGGGAAGATTGAAGGTCAAAGAAGAAGGGGACGGCAAAGGATGAGATGGTTAGACAGTGTTACCTATGCAACAAACATGAAATTAAGGCAGACTCTGTAGCACAACAGAGGACAGGAGGGCCTGTCGTGGTGTGGTCCATGGGGTCGCAAAGAGTCGGACTCGACTGTGCGACTAAACATCAACAAAAATAGTTCTAGTGATGAACAGTGGGTTGGGCAATGTGGAAGAAGGAGGTCATTCCAGCACCCTGACCTGAAAACCCTTTAGGACTTTGAATGACAGCACCAAAACTTTGAATCATGTCCAGTCTTTTCCCAATCTCTCCAAACAGGACCAGTGCTAGACTAAACACTTATTTTTCCTTTCACTAGCTCACTCAATAAACTACAGATATTTAGCCAGATGTCCATCACTTGGAGAACCAGGTTTGACTCCTCACTTCTTCACATGCAGCTACTAGGTGACCTTGGGTCAGACAAAGTTCACTGAGAGCTGTTCTCTCAAGAGCAGTTATCTCAGAGCTCTTTCAGCCTCACCTGCCTCACATGGTGTCTGTTGCAGGGAGGGAAGGGAAAGGATATTGTAAGCTGCTCTAAGACTCCGAGTGAAG